ATATATATATAAGCACATTCAACTTTTACAGCACTGCCATGAATAGACAAAAATTAGTTTTATTATTACCACTCATGATAATAAAAAGTAAAAAATGAAAAACAGGCTAGCTAATCGGTTTCGTACCTCGCTCAACAGAGCTAAATTGAGTTAAATAGAGTAAATTATATAATAAAAAATGACAATAGACAAAGTTTATTGGTTGGAAAAAATAAACTTTGTCCATTTTTCTTGGCACTGATAAAATTTTGTACCACCAAACATATCTTTAAATATATATATATATATATATATATATATATATATATATATATATATATATATATATATACGAGGTCATTCAATAAATAAAGGTGAATTTTTTCGCTATAAGAACATCTAAAACAGCTAGAAGCTTACTTTTCTTTTTCAATGTAATCTCCCAGCACTGTCACACACTTTTCCCATCTGTGCACAAACTTCCGTATTCCCTCAGCGTCAAAATCTTTGGACTGATGTCTCAGCCAGTCACTCACAACACTTTTGACTTTATCGTCACTTTTAAACTTCGTGCCTCTCGTGAACGCTTTCAAGGGACCAAACAGGTGAAAGTCTAAAGGGGCAAGGTCTGGGCTGTAAGGGGGGATGAGGGAGCAGTTCCCAGCCCAGCTCGTTGATGGTCTGCACCGTTTGGGCTGCTGTGTGAGATGCCTTGCGTTGTCCTTCTGACTGATGACCCCTGCGTTTGTTCTTTATGCCTTTCTTGACCTGCCTTAGCAGTTCACAGTAGTTCTTCTGTCAGACTGAATGAGGTCGTTGACTGATTCGATCACCTCAGGAGACCTCACTTCTGTAGGCCTCCCAGGCTTGTCTTCATCCTCAACACTGCTCCGTTCATCTTTAAACAATTTAGCCCACTTGTAGACATTTTTTTGGTTGAAACATGTGGCACCATACACAGTTGACATTCTCCGATGAATTTCAACTGGTTTGCACCCTTCAGCAACCAAAAACTTGATAAGTGATCGCTGTTCAATCCTGGTCGGCCATCTTTGTTAATCGCCAAAACTCTCAAAGGTTTTTTTAATCTGCAAAAGAAATTAAATCCATGTGAAAAAGAAGTAAAATAAAAAAAAGAAAGCTTCTATCTGTATTAGAAGTCCTTATACCGAAAAATTCACCTTATTTATTGAATGACCCTTGTATATATATATATATATATATATATATTGACCACTAATATTATCTCTCTCTTTCTCTCTCTCTCTCACTATATATATATATATATATATATATATATATATATATATATATATATATGCATTTTTCGACATGTGTAGCTACAGATGTCTCTTGTTCCTGTTCTGACAATTGTTTCGCTTTATTATTCAATATTGAGTTGATATTTCAACAAGTAGTGTAGGATATATTTTCTATTTTACACTGTTTCCTATGACGTTGCAAGCTGATCACTAAGCTATTGCTATTTCAATGACAAGTATTCAGATGAGCTCCACTCTTTTGTTTTACCGGTTCACACCTTTACAGCAAGGACTCACCCTGTCTCGTTTAAAAAAAGTAGGATCACCCACATCTTCCAGTATTCCATTTGCAAGGAGAAAGATCCACCTAGACAGCTATTTTCTTAATTGAACAATTAACCTCTTAAAGTCATATATATCCTTCTTATCTTCATTTCCCTCTACGCCTTCTTACGTTCATAGCGTAGACTAATTCCGTAACCTTGTATTGATGAACTCTAGTATGTATAAAAACTTTGAGAGATGTCTAGATAAAGCAAAATATTAAATGCAGATTTTAAAGTGTTTAATTCTTCATATCTTCCTTCAGCTAAGTATTCTCTTAAAACGATGAGACTGTCTCTATATCCAAGAGATGAATCTATTTATATGTAATTGAAATTGAACATTTTTAATGGATTATTTTTTTATTTTGTGGAAATAAAATAGCCTGCGGATCAAAAGGGAGATGCACAAAACAGAAAGGTATGTTAAAAAGATCATTGATTCTGTAATAAACGAAAATATCCACTGAGTCTTTTATTCATTACCTTCAGGATTCAGAGTTGAATTATTTACACTAACACGAAAAAGATATTTCTTGGGATTTCGCACCTTGTCTGTTTTCTGTAGCTTTTCGATTTCATTCTATTTTGGTGCAATCAAATATTCCCTAAATCTCCAATAAAATGTGGAGTTGTACAGAATAGGTCCTCGAAGACTAATAAAAGAAACTGGAGGATGTTTTTCAGAGATTCTTACTTCTCCCCAGCCGCCATTACCCATGTCCTTTCCCTCTCTGGCCTTATTTCAATCAGTCAGTTCAGAAAGCTTCCATGATTCGTATTTGGTAGAACTAGCAAGAAATGAAATGCAAAAAGAATAAAATTCTGGTGTGATAAATTCGTCTGGAATCTTTGAGGGGACTCTAGAAAAAACAAACAAACAAAAAACCAAAAACAAAAACAAAAACGGAAAATTCAATCACAGGAGAGAAAAGATACGGAAGATGCCTATTTGATTACTATTGACATTCGGAATATATATATATATATATATATATATATATATATATATATATATATATATATATATATATATATATATATATATATATATATATATATATATACTACATTATATTACCTTTGAGCAGTAGCGGTATTAATTCAAAGCACAAGTACCGAATTTGGTGAGAGGGACGTGTTTCAATTTCTCGTTTGCGAGAAAATGAGTTTCTTTTTAATAAGGCAAACGTTGTTTCTTGTTTATCTCTATACTTAGACGTTGAATCCAAAAATCAATGACATTCCGAACAAAAAAAAAACGGTGTAACTTTGTCTGATTCCTAGAGAACATCAAGAGGTGATCCATTTTAAACAAAAATAATATGAGAGCGATGCCAATTGGTTAGAATGCTAGCGTTCCGACTATGAGACCCGGGTTCGAACTGCATCATGGTCGATTCCTCAAGCAAGTGGTTTCTTGATTACAGCATGTTGAAACGATCACATTATTTGGAAATGTCGGGAAACTATACCAGGGTTTGTCCCATGCCTTCTGTGTGAAATTGAGTACAAGAAAATCTTCGGAAGCAATCAGTGGTTTTGTTAGTATGATGGGTCACCGTGATCTAAGGTTTGCTCAACTCCTGATCACTCCGGATTATCTGTTCTATCCTAGAAATTATAATTCATATCTGCCCAGTATAGCTGCTGTATAAACCTGAGGTTGATTCTGTGGCTGTTGAAGCAACACAGAAGGACTTAATAAAGTACCATCAACAGCAAACAGCTAGCCACTAGGGCAGACGTGTATCGGAAACGAATAACTAGAGATTATATATAAAATTAACTTAAATGCATGCCATTGAAACAAAAGCACCAACATAAAAAAATAATGTTAATAATAATGAATTTTTCTCTCTGGGATCTAAACTTTCTGAATTTAAGCGTAGTGCTAGATTGGATGAAATATAACCTTAAGTATTTTGCCAATAGTTCTTTCTTCGCTTATGGAACATTTCAGGCTTCTTGGTTCGTAGACAATTTTGATCTTCAAAAATTTAAATGCAATGTCAATCGTCATCTACTGTCTTCTTAATTCCTGTTCTTTTATTGTTCGCTCTTCTTAACAGTGTTTTTCTTTTTCTCATATTAACTAATGCTCAGTGCCTTCTTGCGTCTTAGTTGCTTTATTGCCATGCCTGGGGGCAAAATGATTAAAAAAAATTATGATAAAAACATAAAACATACACCATCTTGTTTCTGAAACTGTTGGTTACCAGAGACGTTTCGGAATTCGGAAATTTCTGTTTCGAAATGGTAGGACACGTGTGGATGGAACGACGGATACCTGAGTGGAAAGTGGGATTGGCAAACCGGGTTCAAATTCTAGCCTAGGCTCTTGTATTCACTTTCTATTAATATCTTTGGAAGAAGCATGAACCCGTGTGTTTTCCTTCCAACTCTGATTTAAATAACATTTTAGACTGGACTCTCCAGTCTTGATTGGCAACCAGTCTAGGAGAAGGATTACTATGGATTCAGAAACGTGAGAAAAGGAAATGGCTAACAACTCAAATATCTTCGCAAGATATCGTGGCAACTCACATATATTAAAGATAAAAAAAAAGATGTGGAAAGCCATGTATCCTTTGTACTAAAGAGTGATGGAATTTCTAAAAAGTACTTATGTTCAATCTAACTTAGAATATGACGATATTAAACCCAAGAGGACAAGTACTGTATAGTTTCTTCTGTTATGTCATTTAACATCGTCGCTGATAATCATTCTCCACTCTTTCTTTCTTTCTTTCTTTCTTTCTTTCTTTTTTTCTTTCTTATTTAATTTTCTCCTCTTTTCCTTCTTTTGCCTTTTCATTCTCTTTTCTTTCTCAGTTTTCCGCCTTCTCCTTTCTTTTCTTGTTTTATTACTTTATCTTTTCTCTCTCTCTCTTTCTCTCTTTCTTCCTCGCTTCCTTCTTTCAGGTCGTTTCGGATGCGCAGGTGGTGTAGTGGATAGCGGTTCGGAATGAGAAAAGGGAGAGCGGATTTCGAATTCCAGTCAGCCTCGTCACATTCGTGTACGCTCAAATATACATGGGGAAGATATGAATCTATCTCATTCTCCCAGTTATGGATTAAATAGTAGGACTTATTTCTGGAAAATAAAACATAGTTATTCTCAAAAATTATTATTCTTGCAATACTAAATTCATTTTGACTTTAAATAATCCGAAATGGATTGGTAAACCATAACAACAAAATCAATCAAAACAACCTTTCAGGTCATCGCTGTAAATGGCTCTCCACCATGTCTTATCTTATTGTTCTGTCATTTGATTACTGAAACTCGTCAATACAGGTTAGTCACTGTTTCGTAATGCTTAACTGGATTTCAAGGTGTCCTGTGAGTATTCAATTCTACAAGCCATAGTATCTCTTCTTCTTCGTTTCTCCCATGATATATCTATGGCATTAAGGGCATCTATCTGTAGGCTTACGGCCATATCACATTGAAACATCGGTTCCCGTACGATCACTGAAGTTACGTAACGTCAAGCCAGGTCAGTACTTAGATGGGTAACTGTTTGGGAATAACAGATGTTATAAATTTGGTTGTATGTAATAAATAATAGCTGGAAAATGTTAATAGGAGACACGATTTCTAGTTTCAGTTGGGTTCGTTATATACCCTTATGCGTAAATACCTTTGGAGAAAGTATTAATCCACCTCTTCTCTCCACTTAATTAATTAGTAAAATTTGTTTCATTAATTCATTATTATCTCAAAAGAAAATTATTAAAATTTAAAAATATTTTCTGGCTTTAAGTGATCTAAAGGGGTTGATAAGCCGTAAAAAAACAAATCATTCAATAAAACATTCTTTAATTGATTCAATTTATGTTGAAGACATAGAAAACAAGTTGATAAAAATTCATGCATTTATCCGTAGAACCAAATCGTTATTATTTGAAGCAACATTTTCGTCTTCGAGGATTACTCCCGAATTCACTGTCATGTTAGAGTTAGGCTATTGCAATAGCAAACCACTAGTCTTTTCTTTTCTCTTACTGCACAAGATGAGTGAAATTGGGTAGATGGAACCCTTACAGGCCGCGGTAGCTTTGCTAGTCATCGTGGCCATGGGATTGAGCGTGATGGCTTTCAAATTGTTGATCACATTAGGTAACATTCTCTTTCCCAGAAACTGTAACTAAGGTCTGCTCAGCATAGTTACCGTATATACCACAGGTGGGCTCTTTGGGTGTTGAACAAACATAAATATGCCTGAGCAAGCGTCTGCAATAGGGATTGACTAGCCGCCCTGGTAGACGGGTATCCTCGAATACGACTGGCCAGATATACATGCATATACAGTATCTATACTGACAAAGTCCGTCGTGAATTTGAAACAATGTTTTCCGAGGAGTTCAATAAATCCGACGTGACGTTAGTTGAATTTGATCTGGATTCATCACTTGATGATGTTCAACCGATCTGATTCATTTTCGCTAATGAATCAAGTGCATTGACAAGGAAATAGTTTATTTTGAGACGTAATTGCGTTTTTCGACATTTGGTAACGTCAAAGACATTAATATTTCTGCGATGGAAATGATGAATATTTATGCTTTGGATAAAACAATACTTTATTTCATTTTCAGAGTATTAACACTTAATAACTATGAAAGTATTAATGTGCATTTATTTCTGATTAAAAAAATGGTAACATTTCAAACGGGTTCAAACTAAGCTCAACACATGTACGGTGACATTTAATGACAAAAGGTAACTTATTTGTCCTACTCAGTGATTATTCAGCACTTATTTTTCAACACTTTTATGTAAGGGATACAAAAGGCAATTATCTCATTTTGGTCGATAAGATGTCATGCGACAAAAATGCTTAGTCAGTCAGTTATTTTCCAAGAGTCAAACCGAACAGTTGCCTCTCAAGGATTTCTGCCTGGGGCAAACAGGTGCCACGGAGTACAACTTGCAATCTCATAGTGTCGTTTTCCTATGAAAATATATCTTCACCAGATATAGAAAATATATCCAGCTCGCAGTTCTCAATTTGGGGTGGGGGGAAACATGACTCGCCGTTTCCTTGTTTGAGGGAAATAAGTCTTCGGTAGTGACATAACATATAAATCCACACTGCTCGATTCTGGAATTGTAAACATGGCTTATTCAGGAACACAGAAGAATCTCCAGTAGGTCCGGTTTTCTCTTCAACAAATATAAATGACTCTTTTTTTCCTTCTCTTTTCACACTGCTTATTGCGTATATGTTATATTTTCTCTGTATGTAATGTAAATATGTGTATATAATTTTGTGTTTGACGTAGCGATATAAAATTCTCTCAGAGAAAAAAGCAAGTTTGTCATTATTTTTCTTTCAGGTATTACGTTCTGTCCGTGAAATAAGGTGTTATTATATCATGGATTTATAATGCTCATAATGGGGGAAAATACAAACTGAAAGAATATTAATTTCTTACATCGCTGACCGATTAACGATTGACCACGACGTGATATATTATTACTACTCCCATTTCTTATGTAATGTTTTTCTTATTTCACTGGTATATTGTCACCATTGTCTATGTAAGACACCAATGGTTGTTCTTTCTGCTTTTGAAAAACTCATATGATTCTGAAAGCGTAATCTTCTGTAAGAATCCGTTGACAACATTTATATTTCTATAGCTGTTGTTCTTTCTGATGGACGGATAATTTTTTTTTTGCCACTGCTCAAAGTTTGCAGAGATGTTATCAGCGACCAACAAATAATAATATTTCTTCTTCTTCTTCTTCTCATTATTATTATTCACCTTCCGATTCTTCTTCTTCTTCTTCTTCTACCGATTCTTCTTCTTCTTCTTCTACCGATTCTTCTTCTTCTTCTTCTTCTTCTTATTATTATTATTATTATTATTATTATTATTTTTATTCACCTTCCGATTCTTCTTCTTCTTCTTCTACCGATTCTTCTTCTTCTTCTTCTTCTTCTTCTTATTATTATTATTTTTATTCACCTTCCGATTCTTATTCTTCTTCTTCTTATTCTTCTACCGATTCTTCTTCTTCTTCTTCTTCTTCTTCTTCTTCATCTACCGATTCTTCTTCTTCTTCTTCTTCTTCTTCTTCTTATTATTATTATTATTTTTATTCACCTTCCGATTCTTCTTCTTCTTCTTCTTCTTCTTCTACCGATTCTTCTTCTTCTTCTTCTTCTTCTTCTTCTTCTTATTATTATTATTATTATTTTTAGTCACCTTTCGATTCTTCTTCTTCTTCTTCTACCGATTCTTCTTCTTCTTCTTCTTCTTCTTTTTCTTCTTCTTCTTCTTCTTCTTCTTCTTCTTATTATTATTATTATTATTATTATTTTTAGTCACCTTCCGATTCTTCTTCTTCTTCTTCTTTTCTTCTTCTTTTCTTCTTCTTCTTCTTCTTATTATTATTATTTTTAGTCACCTTCCGATTCTTCTTCTTCTTCTTCTTCTTCTTTTTCTTCTTCTTCTTCTTCTTCTTCTTATTATTATTTTTAGTCACCTTCCGATTCTTCTTCTTCTTCTTCTTCTTCTTTTTCTTCTTCTTCTTCTTCTTCTTCTTCTTCTTCTTATTATTATTATTATTATTATTATTATTATTTTTAGTCACCTTCCGATTCTTCTTCTTCTTCTTCTTCTTCTTCTTCTTTTTCTTCTTCTTCTTCTTCTTATTATTATTATTATTTTTAGTCACCTTCCGATTCTTCTTCTTCTTATTATTATTATTATTATTATTCACCTTCCGATTCTTCTTCCTGTTCACTTTCCCATTCTTGTTGTTGTTATTGTTGTTGTTGTTGCCATGTTCCTTAAGCCCGGAAAAATGGCCCACTTCTTGTATTGCTGCAAACATTCCCAGTCTTTCTATTATACTCTACCGGAGGAGACTAAGAAATGTAGTATTATACTCGCAATTGGTCTGGAGCTACCTAATCTTCACTTTGTGTGCGAAAAAATATTTTACGCTATACAACTCCTTTCCCACAGACGGAACTTTTGGCCTCTCGCTACTTTTTGCATGGCCGATGTTTTGACAGAACTATATTCTAGAACGAACCGTCCATTACACAAGGTCAAATCATACTCATTCGCTTCATATTCCATTGGAGAAAGTTCCAATAAGACAGTTAGCCTCTGAAAATGATGCATTGGGGAACAGACTCCCGAGAGGATACTTTCCCGATCACTATCGTCATTTGTTTGTTTGTATCCATCTTGCCCCCTCTTTGTATGCTCTCATTAATTAACCTTCAACCTTAATTAGCTCTTGCGCCTTGTATTAGGTGAAGAATAGTAAAAGAAAGCTCTATTATGTGTCTCCTTAATATTTATCTCAGTAAGACAGTTTCCTCCTGGGAAATGTATTGGGGAACAGACTCCCGAGAGGATGCTTTCGCGTTTACGATCTTAAAACTCTTCAAGTTTAGGGACAATCTCTATCTATTCTGTATATCCTCATAATGTACCCATCTTGTTCTCTCCTAGCATTCCCTGAATTAGTAACCCTCTACCTTGATTGGCTCTTGTGCCTTGTATTGCTATCCATTTACACTAGCTTTTTAGATAGGTAGATCTCTGTTTCTATCAATCTGTGTTCTGTGAGTCTCAAATATTCAAGCCTTCTTTTCCATAATTTTCAACTGTCTCTTCCTGATACTGTATTTGTATGTTATTTTTGTATCTGTCTATATTTCGGAGATGAGCTATTATGTGCACTATTTACATTATTCGAAGTATTGTCCTCATCTTTGTCACCATATTTATTACAACGTTGTATGGTCCAGCCTTCTTCAGGCGGTTGGAATGTCGAACTGAACCCTTTATTTCGCTCACTGGGGTAGACTGTTCTAGTTCCACGTCCCATGTTTAATGGATGTTATAAGTTATCTCCTGTTAATTTCCCACTGCAAGTTCTCCGCTGCCTTAACCGGGTATTGAACTCACACTTGTTGGGTCCTGTCACCGGATCTAACCAACGCCTTTATCCACTGTGCCATGAGGACATCTGGGTATGAATTTCTGGGTATTATAAAACTAATGTCACAGCATCATTTTTTCTAGTGCTCATATTGCAATTTTTTTGCTGTTATCATTGTATGTTTTTACCAGACGTCATATGGCAGTTTTTTTTTTTGTTTTATCGCTTTTCTTTGGCACTCCTTATTACTGGTTCCCATATTGTATTCATTTCTCTATTTGGTCGGCTCAGGAGATTTTTATTTTTGTATATATTTTCCTTAAAACGTGTCCATTATTCGCAAACCATGTCTATGGTATTTCCTTACCGAGCTTAGTATGACTAGAGAATGAAATCGAATTCAATATGCAATAATAATGATCCATAACCATATCACCGCGACTATAAAAGAGTTACTTTATTTGCATGAGTGTATTTTTACGCGCACCCCCTTTCTGTCTTCCACCAACATGGATGATACTAACCTCCCGAAGAGTGACTCAGTGCACCTTCTCGGGCTATACGTGCTAGATATGAAGTGGAAAGACTATATTGAATCCGGTTCTAGTTCAGCTGCTAAGAAAGTTG